ATTCCTGCTAATCCATGATTATACAGCCTGAACTAGTCAGATGAGAGGCAATAGTGAGGCACAGGCTGGTTATCTTTAGAAGCAAGAAGGGCCTTTACCTGCTGAGGAGGCTTGGCACAGAGCAAGGAAATCCTCTGTGAGATGGAGAAGTGCCATCCCAAGCAGCAATTTGTGGTGCTAGAAAAGAACAAGATTTTCAGCTTAGGAATATTAGGAGCCAGATACAATTGGGGAGAGTGAAATGGAACAATATGATCTGCTGCAAGATAAGATCCTTTCACAAATGCCCCAAACCCACAAACCCCAAATCTATAGAGGTTTTCTGAACTGGTGTGGTCTAACCAAAATGAGAGGGAAGTAAAGCTGTAGAAATAATTATATGTGCCTACAGAGTATGGAAGGGGAAGAAAAGGGAAGTTACCAGAGTATCTTCTCCATTAACAGCCCATAATGTAGTAAGGGGGATATGGTAACAGAGAGAAGTTTGTGGCCCTGGGTGAAATAGTTGTAACTGGTACTGGAGGAGAGAAGGAAAAGTACATCTTGTACCAGCCCCAGTGTGGCAGCAGGGCCAGGGCAGTGGCTGGAGCCACCATCCCCGAAGGGATTTAAAAGACGTGGTGCTTTGGGACATGGGTTCGTGGTGGCCTTGGCAGTGCTGGGGGAACAGTTGGACTCGATCATCTGAAAGATGATTTCCAGCCTAATTGATTCCATAAAAACTCCTGATCCTCTGGAGTGAAGCAGAATGACCAGCACAGCAAGAGCAAAGCAGTCAGTTGCCTCCTGTGACGAGGAGTTGTGCATCAGGCTGATTGAATTCTTCCAATTGCAGCAGGGACTCAGGCAGGTAACTAACAGCTACTGAAGGTGTATGTTTTAATTAGCAGGGAATGGGGTATTTTGCATTCAGGTCAGTAACCAGAGCTCCCTGGATCACTCTCATCCATTTTTTAAGCAGCTTTGGAAGTCTGGCTTTTCAAAGCCATGTTTGTGTCAGGAAGTTCAGCCTTGTTCACCACCAGAAGGAACCTTCCACAGCAGGAGGCTCTTGATGCTTAATCTCATTAATGATTGAAGAAACCAATATCTGAATCCTGTGAGAATCAGATGTTCTATCACTGAATGCTCCAGGTTCTGTTGATGAGGGAAGGTGAGCTACATCAGCTTACCTTACTTACATGCTGAACTGATACAGTATTCCCATCCAGAACCCACACGTCAGGAATTCCAGGTGGCTGAGGAGCTGAAAGAGGCACTCTTAGCCTAAATACCTCTGAAACTAAAGCAAAATACTAAGTATTCACATTTTGTCATCTTTTAAGTGCTTTCATAAGGATGCTGTGTGTGACCAAGGAGGTGAAACAAGATACAGAGAACAAAGATAATGGGTTTAGAGTAGAATGAACCTTTTCATGCAGCAGGAGCTGGTGAGTTGGAACAACCTGGAAGTGGAAGGGGATGATGTGAAGTGGTTCCTGACACCATTCTCTTCATTATCCTCTGGAGACCTTGTGGAAAACATGCTGGAATCTCCTTAAAGCCTCAGCCTGACACAATCCAGAGCAGAGTCTGAAACGTTTCATTGCTCATTCTTGGTCTTGAATCTTCCTTAATGTGTTTCTTCACAGTGTTTGTTTCCTCAGTTGTCTTATACAGTGGCCTGTATGGAACAAATCTCGTGCAGAAGCTGCACTGGGACCCACAGGAAAAAGTAAGTGATTGAGTGGAGAAACTAAACCCAGAACAAAATCCCACTCCATTTGGGACTCACTGGTGCTGCCCATAGTGAACCTCTCATACCTGCTTGGGGTGAAGCAGAGCTCCTGCTGCTGCCTGGTGGAGTCAGGAGGTGAAGGTGGCCACAGGGTACTGCCACTGAAGTGGGGAGTGCTGGGCAGAGAGACGTCCTGAGTGTGACAGAGAAAGGGCATGTGGGTCTTAACAGCTCTGCTGGTCTCCTTGACCCTCCTTATCCTCTCTGCTGGAGGAGCAGCACCAACTGCAGGCTGGTTTTGAGGGCTTTTCCCAGCCCTCCCTTTAGGGAAAGCATAAGGAGCCTCCCGGAGGTCTGTGGACAACCAAAGGAGAGCTTTGAGCCTCACCTGTATGAAGAGGTTTTGCTGTTGCTCATGCTCTGGATGAGCCTGCAGGTTTTACAGAGTCCCAGTGGGGCCACCCCAGCTGTGTGGAGCAGCCATTTCCTGGTCATTCTCATCCTTCTGCTCCAGACTCCAGACACACTGGGCTTTGCTCTCCAAAGGGAGTAGTTGTGGTTGTGGGATGTCGTATGTACGAGCCATCTTTGTGCCGTTGCAGGTTCAAGAGGAGCTTTTCACACTGATTAACTTTTCCCTCCTCCTGCTATCACAGGGCTACACAGCTCACATCATCAGCACTGCCTCTGAGTGGTCACTGGCATTCTCCTTCCTCAGCTTTTTCCTCACCTACATCCGAGACTTTCAGGTAAAACAAAGTTCTCATTACGTGGTTCTCTGGTTCTCCAAGCTCTAAACAGCCCAAAATGATGCAAGATGGGCTGCCTTATGTTAGTGGTCATGAAGAGCATTATACAGTCCTCACCTCCTCAGCAGGACCTACCTTTATTGGGATAGCACCCAGATATCCAGCATCAGATGGGCTTTAACCAGATTCGCTTCACAGAATCCCAGCCTGGTTTGTGTTGAAGGGACCTTAAAGCTCCTCCAGCTCCACCCCCTGCCCCGGGCAGGACACCTTCCACTAGAGCAGGTTGCTCCAAGCCCCTGTGTCCAACCTGGCCTTGAACACTGCCAGGGATGGGGCAGCCACAGCTTCTCTGGGCACCCTGTGCCAGCGCCTCAGCACCCTCCCAGGGAAGAGCTTCTGCCTCAGAGCTCATCTCAGTCTCCCCTCTGGCAGGTTCAAGCCATTCCCCTTGTCCTGTCCCTCCATCCCTTGTCCCAAGCCCCTCTCCAGGTCTCCTGGAGCCCCTTTAGGCCCTGGAGCTGCTCTAAGGTGTCCCCTTGAGGAGCCTTCTCTTCTCCAGCTGCCCCAGCCCAGCTCTCTCAGCCTGGCTCCAGAGCAGAGCTGCTCCAGCCCTCGCAGCAGCTCCGGGGCCTCCTCTGGCCTCGCTCCAGCAGCTCCATGTCCCTCTGGTGCTGTTCACCAGCGCTGGATCAGGGCTGCAGGAGGGGTGTCCCCAGAGCACAGCAGAGGGGCAGGATCCCCTCCCTGAGCTGCTGCTCACTCTGGGGTGCACCCAGCACACGAGCTCACATGCGAGGTCCATCACAGGCAGGGGGATGTTTGCTCCAGGATTGCAACTGCTGGAGTCACTGCAGGAGCCAGGCTCGTAGTCCTGGAGCTGATCTGCAGTTTGGTGTTTCATGTGCCCTGAAGCAGCGCGGTCCCTGTGCTCTGCAGGGGCAGAGCTGCCAACTCGGAGCCTTTCCTTTCTCCTGCACAGAAAATCTCCCTGCGCGTGGCCGTCAGCCTGCACGGGCAGACCCTTCACAGCACCCCGGGCAGCTCCGGGGCCGAGGAGCGGGCGCTGCTGGTAGCAGGGAGCATCTAATGAAGGTGAAGAGAACGTGTTCTCTGCAGAACTCAGGAATTCCATAGCAATAACAGTTGCTGTTTCTAAGCACTTACATAAAACACATGAAGGGATTGTGTTGCACTTGACAGAAAGGGCTTTGCCATTAACCCCGAGCAATGCACGTGTCAGCAGCACTGTGACCGAGCCTGCAACATTTCCACCCATGCCAATGTCATGGAAGAATTAAATGAAGGTTATTAAAGAGTTGTGTCTCCTCGTCGCTTCCACCATCCCCAGCCTGACCTTCCTCAGCCCTGTGCCCTCCTCTCTGCAGCATTCCTCTGGCCAAGTCCCTTTGGATGCACAGAGCACCCAGCCTAGAGCTGGGCTCTCGTCCTCCCGTGTCCACAGCTCCCTCACGTGCATGACCTGCACATCGTGCTGGAGCAGGACAGACCCCAAAGCCACCTCCTTTGAGCAACCCCCAAGGAAATCTGCCTTCACAGCACCCCTTGCTGTGTGTGGAAGCTTGTCCAGCTCTCCCATTGCTGGGAGGGCAGCCACATGTTTGCTCCTGAAGAGGAGCCCTGAGGAGCAGCAGGAGCCTGGGAAAGCTGCTCCAAGGCCAAACCACACCGAATTCCTCCTTCCCTCCTCTCCCTGGCAGCTGCTGGAGCTGAGGGCCGGGTTAGTGGGAAGAGCTCAGCATCCTTCCTAAACTATCACTCGAGCCCACGGTTACATGAGCTCCAGCATGTTTCCTCCCACACCAAAGAGCTGCTGCTGGCACCGTCCCTGGAGGGGCAGGTGAAGGACCAGAAGAGGGACCTGGGCTGGAGGCCTCCTGCCGCTGCCCTGGGCAGTGTCTTTCTTGCTGATATCAAACAGGTTCAGTTGTGCTGTAGCTGCACCTGAGCCTCGTTCAGACCATTCACCTGCTGAAACCAACCTTTGGAGCCAAACACCTTCAACCTACCAGAGCAGTGAGAGGAAACACGGATTAACATGGACACAGAGATCCCAAGGGCTCCATGGCTTAAGGAAGATTTCCCCAGGTATTATAGCTGCTGCTGAATCCCATGGGATCAGGGCCTCCCTGGACAGAGGCAGCTGGGCTGCGCTCTCCAGTGGGACAATGTGTAATCCCCAGGTTCTGGTTCACTGCTACAACCCACAAAACACGATGTTCCAGCAGCAGAAGCATTTGTCTCATTGAGTCTCATCAAGCAAATGGTTTAAGCAGGAGATTGTCACTGCCCTGGGGAGCAGATTCCCACAGGGAAGGGAGCCCTGTTCCTGGGATGGAACAAGCTGAAGCAAAACCCCAACTCGGATGCACTTGAGATGGAGCATCTCAAGAAGGCTCCAGCAGACCCTGTTGGCTCACAGGGCTTTTCCCTCCTTCCCCTTGGTGCCACCCCAAACACAACCCCCCCCAGTGCTCCCCCAGCAGCTCAGCACCACTTGCTGGGTTTCTTCCTCATTTGTAGATCCACAGAAGTTCCACCTCAGAGCATCAGTAACAACCTCCCCAGTGACGGACAAGCCTCCTCCTGCCCTCTCCATCCTTCACCAAAGGGACAGGGATGAGCAGCACCCACAAACAGCTCCATGCTCCTCACCAACTGCCCCAGAGCTACACACCCCATTGAACCCCTGCCTCGTCCTCAGCCCCAGGAACACAGAAGAACCCTGAGGGCTGGGCCAGGTCCTGCCTCTCCTGCTGCAGACTCTTGATGGGCAGCTCCCTGCAGGGGAGACCATTAATGGTCACTGGCCTGACCAGCCTCAGCTGGGACCTCCTCACACACCCTCTGCCATGGCCCAGGAGCTCCATGTGAGCCCAGGCAGGAGCACCCTTCAGCTCTGTCCCAGCTTTATGTTGTGGACAGACCTCATAGAATCATAGAATGGTTTGGGTTGGAAAGGACCTTAAGATCACCTAATTCCAACCCCCTGCCATGAGCAGGGACACCACACACTAAACTATGTCGCCCAAGGCTCTGTCCAGCCTGGCCTTGAACACCTCCAGGGCTGGAGCATTCACAACTTCCTTGGGCAACCTATTCCAGTGCCTCACCACCCTCACTGTGAAGAACTTCTTCCTTAGATCTAACCTAAAGTTCCCCTGTTTAAGTTTAAACCCATTACCCCTTGTCCTACCACTACAGTCCCTAACGAAGAGTCCCTCCCCAGCATCCTTGTAGCCCCCTTCAGACACTGGAAGCTACTCTGAGGTCTCCCGCCGCTTCT